ATTACCTACCTATTATACATTTTAGTCCTTATTTACACTTTCAGTTTCTCACACCAGAGAAACTATTCGGTATTTATACATGTGTGTCCTATTTATTTCGCTTAAGAGTACTTATTTATTTATTTATTTATTTTTGTACCAGGGATCGAACTCGGGACCTTGAGCTTGTGAGGCAGGTGCTGGAACCACTGAGCTAAATCCCCAGCTCAGAAACCTTTTTAAAAGGAAGACTTTGAGAAACCTATTACCAGTGCAGTGATAGACTTACTGTATTAGTTACAACTTCTTTTCAATATTAGTGTTTTGTTTTTTTCTTGCTTTTTTGTGGTGTTGGGGATGGAACCCAGGGCCTCACACATGCTAGACAAACACTCTATCCCTGAGCTACTTGGACACTCCCAGTCCCTACCTTCGAAAGTGATCATCAGGGTCGGGGATTTAGCTCAGTGGTTTTGCCGCCTGCTGCGCAAGCACAGGTACCTGAGTTTGATCCCCGGTACCAAAAAAAAAAGAAAGTGATCATCAATGGCTATGGTAGCTCATGCCATGCATGTAGTCCCAGCTACTCTAGAGGCTTAGGGGGGAAAATTCCTTGAGCCCACAGGTTTAAATCGATCCTGGGCAACAAGACTCATCTCAATGGGGGGAAAAAAGATATTGTCACTTTGTAAAACCTAACAAATTATCTAGGTAACAATCTAGGGCAATTATCATTAATGGCTGCTAATGTTGCAAAAAAAGAGAAACACTCAGTTCTGACAGAAAAGAGCAGCACCTAATCTTTCCCCACCAAAAATCAAACTTGAGTGTGATCAGGCCTCTATATCCAACTGATTGTTTTTGTTGGTGGTGGTGGTGATGGTGGTGATTTTGTCTTTGTTTTTCTACAATGCTGGGGATGGAACCCAGTGCCTCATACATGCTAGGCAAGCACTCTATCACTAAGCTATATCTCCAACCCTTTTGAAGTTTTTTAAAATTTTGAGACAGGATCTTGTTAAATTGCCTGGGCTGGCCTTGAACTTGTGACCATCCTGCCTCAGCCTCCCAAGTAACTGGAATTACGGGAGTGCCCTGCCATGCCCAGCAGTGACTTCCTCTTTTAAACCTGTTTCCCCCATTCCCACTTAACCCACACTTTTACTTACATCAGCAAAACCCACATAGCCCACACAGTCCTTCTTTTTCTGTTTGGTTTTTTTGGTACCAGAGATCAAACTCAGGACCTCCCACTTGCCAGGCAGGCACTGTGCCCCTGAGCTACAACCCCAGTCCCCTTCTTTCTCTCTGGTAAAAACCAAACCAAAACCAAAACACTATGCAATAGGAAATTTTCTGCTTCATTATAATTGTATAGGATCGTTATGGTCACGCGTGCTATCGTTACTGTTGTTACGCAGAGTGTGACTTTGTATATTTTTTGCCTGGTTGTTTGTTTTTTGGGGTTTTTTTTGAGACAGGATCTCACTGTGTACCCCAGGCTGCCCTCAAACTCACGGGATCCTCCTGGCTTGGCCTCCTGAGTGCTGGGATTACAGGCATGGGCTACCACACTTGGCAACTTGGTATATTTATAGAGATTTATTTTAAGGAATTGGCTCAC